TGAGATGAAATGCAACGTCCGTATCGGCGTTATTGTTAAACATCGCAGATATTTGAGCAAGAGCTGCGAAAAACGGCACCGCGAGCAGAGACGGACGAGGAGTGTCGTCTGCTATCGCCCTCTGCTCTTTTCGTCTGCTTCTGCACGGACGCTGAACTGACTCTGGAGCCGGTGCAAGATTTTGAGGAACTGGGTCTGAACTCGTTCAGAACTGGGATGAATCGAACGCGCCAGTGCAACGGTCGTGCAACTTCCGGTTGAATCGAATGCACCAGTTCCTGCACTGCTGAACTAGTCCAGCCAGTTCAGGCGAATCGAACAGACCTAATGAATGCTTTGGCAGACACCCGGGTAGTAGCTCGTGTCCAACCACCGCAGTGATGAGGATAGCCCAACTTAGTGCCACTAAATAAGCTACGCTTCAGAGTAACGACACTTGGCCATATTGTGTCGTAAAATCAAGGTTGCCAGTTATCTGAAGCTTTATCTGAAATCACAGGAAATGCTTTTCCGCCCTCCACAAATGTTTAAACCGTTCGCGACAGAGCAAAGCAATATTACATGACCTTCCTAACACCGAATCTAATGCTGAGGAAGTCGCACTTTTGAATCATGACGATCGGCCGTTGCGTCTGTTCTGCATACGAGCCAAAATGGCAGCGCCCACAACAATGTCGGGGAACGGAGTGCCGATACTCTAAGCGCAGCTTATTTAGTGGCTCTAGCCCAACTCTAACAATGTCTGAGCTCAGCACGCGTTCTCTACTTTGTCAGCCCAAGCACGTGGGTATGATTGACGAGGAAGGCACCAGACCACCTGGTCGCTTGTTCTGGCTCCGAGATGAGGGGTTGAACGATGCTCATATTTCTCAAATTTTATTGGCGACTGCTATTGCCTAGAAACAACAACTAAGGCAAGTTTATTCAATTATTAACGTTAGGGAGTGGCTCTAAGTAGTATTTAGCAAAAGTAGAAACATCGTTTCAAGGCTACTTTAGTATGCGCCTTAGATGGCCATTTCGAAGAGAGGAACTCCCGATAATTCACCGGCTCTTTTCGTGGATCTTTTGACTCGTTGGACCTCTTGACTCGGAATTCCCCGCTTCTCGTCAAAAGATCCAACGAGTCAAAAAACACAATGATGGGTATTTTGACTCGTTGGATCGTTTGACTCGCTCGACACGAGTCAAAAGATCCAATGTTGGTCAAGAGGTCCAACGAGCCAAGTGATCCAACCAGTCAAAAGTTCCAGGGCGAGTCAGGAAGTTCAACGAGTCAAAAGGTTTAACCAGTCAGAAGGTCCAATAGTGGACCTCTTTATACACTAGATCTCTTGACTCGGCAGACACGAGTCAAGAGGTCCATTGTGGGTCAAGAGGTCCAATTACTTGAGAACTGCCGCTTCATATTGCAAAGGGATCACGGAAAGCCCCTCACCACTCCTCCCCTAGACGCGGGGAGGCGTTGTACAATAAGGGTCTGTAAACGATTTTTGACTAGGTGACTTAGTTTTTGTGTAAAAAAAAGTGAAACAGATTTAAGTTCGATGCGCCGCTCAACTACGCACCATTTTCCGGTTTGCAACTGGAAAACCGGCTCGAGGGGGACACCCGAAGACATCCAGTTTCGTATTGCTGGCTATGGGAAGTTGGGAGGGAGCGCTTTTCTTCGCTTCCGGTAGATGGCGCCACCTAAACTTAGCGTAATAAAAGTCAAGAATATCTCTTTTGACGCGTCTTCTCACTTCTTCACGACAACATTGAAAAACAAAAATTAGCCTCAAATCGAGCAGACGCTGACTGGGCTTGCTAACTCAATACACATTGAACCAGTTCACGTCACGCGCGTAGTTTTCTTGGCCGGCACAAGTGGCTGCAGGATGAAAAATAGTGCTCGTTCCTCTTCGCAATTTCTTCGGACACTGGCGACATTTCAAAAACTCAAAACTTTTCTTTTTTTTTTTTAGGGGCGAAGCTTTTTAGGGGTTAGCCATGTCCGTATGTCCGTCCGCCGTCGGGTCACAAGCACGTGAGCACGTGCTCCCGTGCTCGTGAAGGGCAAAAAAAAAAAAAAAAAACGCATCTTCACGTTGTGAATGATGTTGATTGGGACGAAGCTCTGGTGGTGCTTGTCTGCGTAGACGGTGAGCCGCAGCATGCCGAGCCTTTCGTTCGTTTTCATCCATGTCAAAAAGAAAATGTACGGTATGGAACGTGGTTATATACGCATTTGAGCAATTGACCGCAGCGTGACATGGATGAAAACGAACGAAAGGCTCGGCATGCTGCGGCTCAGCGTCTACGCAGACAAGCACCACCAGAGCTTCACCCCAATTAACATCATTCACCACGTGGAAATGCGGTTGTTTTTAAATTCCTACCCCCCCCCCCCCCCCCCCCCCCCCGGCCCGGGTCAGCGTGTCCCGCATTTCGCTAGCAGGAGTCCTCCTGGTGACGCAGCATGGCAGTGTGTATAAAAAGCAACGCGCTCCGCCGTTCGCGTTTGATTAGTTCCTGAAACAACTGCATCGACGATGGCCATCTTGGAACATAAAAACACCTAAGACGTCTAACGATATTGAATTTCTCTGTCTGGGAGTCCCCACGTCGGTCTGACTGAAAAATGCAGACGACTTGTTTGTTGTGACGAAAAATTATACTCCGTGTCACTAGCTGCGTGCAGTAGAGGCGAAGGCAACACCAGGCGATGGGAGAAAGGGCAAGCAGCAGGCAGGCTGGGAAGGAGGACAGAAATCGTCTCAAATCTCTAAAGCTCTCCCTTTCTCTCCTTGCCCTCAATCGCCCTCCTCTCCCGTCCCGCCTTCCCAGCGCTCGCCCTTCCTCTCTTTGCCTGGCGTTGCCTTCCTCTGCACTGCGCAGAAATAGTGGCACGGAGGATAATTCCACAAGCCCTTGCAGTGGTTTCAGTGGTTTTCTTGAAATCGACCAGGTGATCGATGCGCAAATAGGCCATTATAAATATTACAGGGTATTAATTTGGTCGCTTGATGCGTCGTAGACGTACCGAGCAGGCCATCAACATGCCGAGCAAGCAGCCAAGTCCATACACTAAAGGTGAAACGAAACATTGATCAAGCACGCATTCACAATATATAACAAAAGCGACAGTGACTTCAGACAGGTGGTCATTTGAGGTCCGGCGTGGACGCTCCCAGGTAGGACTGGAGGTCCTTGACGGTCGAGTGGAACAACTTCGCCCTAGCCGTGGCCAGTCCCAGACGCTTGTAGGCCTCGTAGCGGTGGCAGCCTCCAAACGAGTAGTAGTAGTCGCCGCCCTCACGTCCCTTCACCCACAGCACGTCGATGGGGGGCACGGAGTCTCGCTTGGCGGGGTCCTGCACCCAGGGATGGGGAACAAGAAACAACGTCACACTAATGGCGGCCCAATCAAATTAAATTTGGGTGGGGGGGAGGGGCTTTACGTGCCTAACCAACGAAAAACGTCTGGCACGCCCCAGCTATGGACGAAGGGTACATTTCGACCACCTGTGGATCTTTTGACGTGTTACTCAAACGGTGTCTTCTCCTCGATGAGCATCTGTAAAATGTGAGGCACCTCGACCGCGATTCGAACTCGCCAACTGGGGATCTGTATAAGCCAACGCTCTGCCTCGGAGCCACAGAGACAGTTTGTAGACCTTTTTTTTTTTCTTTTTTTTTTAATTTTTCATGGTAAGTTTAGCGGAAGTGACACGTACGAGATTCTTTGAACATTGAAATCATTTCACGGTCCTTTTAAAGGGTCATGAAACGTTATTGGCTTAGAACGTTCAAGACCTTGCCGGTTCGTACTGGTCCCAGCCTTGTACAAGTATACTCGCACAGACCGCCATTGATTCAGAAACTTCCTTGTCGTGGTGAAATTGGGAAATTGCGAAGATAAAATGGAACTATTTATTTCAGTTTGGCCTTTGCAAAGCTGGATGGCGCGATTCTGGAATCGAAATCACCCGACTGACGACAGTCGAGCGCATGTATGGATTGGACACGAGAACTGCGTGAACACTCGACTTCAGCTCGTAACAATCGATGCCTCGGCGGACACTCGGGTCCGCCGAGCCATCGAGGTAAGACAGACGCAGACGACGTTGCAAAGGAGCAGACGACGTTGCAAAGGAGCAGACGACGCTCAGATAGGGGGTCGCGATCAGCCAATCAGGGCTCGACGTTCTGACGTCACCGCTACCCCCTGCGCAAGAAGCAGACGAACTTGCCCTCCGCATAGGATATGCACCAGGCCACCTGGCCGCTTGTTCTGGCTCAAAATTGAGGGGATGAACGATGTCCATATTTCTCAAATTTTAGTGGCGACTGCCATTGCCTAGAAAGAACTAAAGCAAGTTTATTCGGTTATTAACGTTAAGGAGTGATTGTAAGTAGTATTTATCAAAAATAGAAAAATCGTTTTAAGGCTCCTTTACGATGCGCCTTAGATGGCCACTTTTTAAAGGCAGGATGAAATTATGGTAAACTTTTTCTTTCTAATAAACTTTCAGGTTCCATATAAGATATATTGAAATCTAAATTAGCATTTTGATAAGTGGTTGCTGCAATGGATCTTAGGATGCAAGGTTCAAAATATGTCACGAAAATGTGGAAGGTACAATGTTTTAGTTTCCTGAGCTTTATTACGTGCGAATAAAATAATTATGTTTGCACGTACAAAATCGACTAGGTGCCGTACATTAAAAGGAGAAGAAATATACGATTTCCGTGTTTATGCAAACCAATATATATATATATATATATATGTAGGGCAACGCCTCAATGATGGCCTTTCGTCCGTGAAATCTCGGATTCGACTGCCTGTGCACCACGGACTGCCACTCAAGCTGCCGACGTTCGATGGGCAGTCGTCTTGGCAAGCCTTCATCATCCAATTCAAAACGGTTGCAGACTTTTACGTGTTCGACTCAACGTCCAGAGCTCGTGCAATGGTGGCCCAGTTGAAGGGGAACGCTGCTGAATATGTGTAGAGCATGTCTGCCACAAGTCGTTCCTCGTATCAGTTACTCATAGAAGCACTAAAGTCCCGCTTTGGGGATGAACATCTCCAACAATTTCGCCTAACTGCTTTGAAACACAACCGCCAAGGCACGGACACACTCCAGGAGCTAGCTGACGTAATCCAGCGGATGGCGAGAAGAGCTCTCGTCGGATGTACAGAAGTCGACGTTGAGCAGATAGCAACCACTGCTTTCATCGACGCAATCGAAGACACCGACATCCAGCTTCTTGTGCGACTCGCCCACCCAACCACGACTCGTGCAGCACTGGCTCGCGAACTCGAAGTTCAAGCAGCCAACAAAGCAATGGACATGGTGTCGACATCTGGAATCCAGCTTCCGGGGCTGGCTCACCCATCTTCTCCGGTACGTTCGAGTAAACGTCGTTGCTTCACGTGTGGTGACATTGGGCACTTAGCTCGATCCTGCCCAAATCACTTGGCCCCGTGCAAAACGCAGCCTATACCAACGCCAAACGTTTCAAGTGTCAGTGAGCCTGGCAAGGTTGAGTCTCATGTAGTGCATCATGTTCCTCTGGTGACAACGTCACTGCGCATCTCACCAACGCCATGTCTTTCAGTTCATCTTCCTGAGTTGGGACAACATTTAAATGCTATTGTGGACACCGGAGCTGCTGTAAGTCTAATTGATTATGCATTACTGCAATCAGCAAAATGTACCACGCCCAAAACACTTCCTGGTACCCTCTGTCTTATATCAGCCGACGGTTCTACAATCGAACAAGAAGGATAGATCTCGTTGACTGTAGAAACCTTAGGAACAACAGTGAACTTCCCCTTTGTAATTGTGCGCAAGTTACAAAGGTCAATAATACTCGGCCGTGACTGGTGTTCAGACGTCCAGCTCTCCCTATCGTTTCGAGTAAGTGAACATTGTTTGTCAGCCCTACCAACTTTCAGTATTGGCGATCAGTCCAGTTGTTCTGCGACAGATCGAGTTGCTCCAAGGAGATAGCGGGGGAAGCAAAGAAGCAACTTCCTGGATTTTTGAGAGCTTATTCGATGGATTTGTCCTAGCGTGGTCCAGCTTGAAAAATCTGACGAAGACCGCTGCAGCCCAAGTATGTTCTACCGTCGCAACTGCTACGACATTTGTGTCTACACTAATGGCACCGATGGTCAATCGAGAACCACAGAAGGTCTTCCGTATGGTCGCAGCATCGGACATTGTTGTACCTAAGTTACCTGCAGTTTGGGCTACAGCAATAATTCCAGGTTCAAGTACATCAAGAGATATCCCAGTTGAATCACTGCTACAATCTCGTCCTGGGATGGAGTTTGCTATACCTCGCTGCCTTGTTTCCTGCGAGAAAGGGGGTTTGATGCTTCCAGTTTTAAACCTGACGAATGGTGATCTGCTCCTGAAATCCGGTGAAGAGTTCGGACCTGTGAAATTTGCCCTCTCACATGCCACTGTCGCGACAATTAGTGCGGCACCAACGATGTCTGTCCCGCAAGATTGCCTTGAAAAAGCTAGTGACCTTCCGTGGCCGGAATTTAATTTCGGCCACAACTTAAAGGAGCTGTGCAACGATATTCAATTGGAATGTTTTTCTCTCTACACGAGCTTACTGGCACACCTGGGATTCAAGGATACTCACACGCAACGCCATTGGCCAAGAAACTCCTTTGTTGCGGTGTAATTTCAAGGACAAAAGCGATCATTTTCATTCAATCTCTCCTTTGCAAAATTTGATGACGTAACTCGGGGATCGCAGTACACCCAAGTGACGATATTTGAATGCGGTTCATAGATTGGACCCGAGCATTGCGTGCGCACTCGACTTGGGCTCGTGATAATTGCTAGCTCGAGAAGCATTCGGGTAGTGACCCGTGTCCAATCGCTGCAACGAAGACAACAGCCGAGCCATAACAATGTCTGGAACTCAGCGCGTGTTCTGCGCTTTGCCAACCCCAGCGCGTGGCTATGATGAACACTGGCGGCATATAATCGGCTCCAGATCACGTGGTCGCTTGTTCTTGCTGCGAGTTGAGGGGGTGAACGCTGCTCGTTTTTCTTTAATTTTTTTCTGGGACTTCTATTGCGTGGGGTGAAAAACGAACGCGTGTTTCATAGGTCATTAGCGTTAGGGATCCGTTTTAAGCGGTATTTGCGCAAAATACAAAAATTGTTGCATCGCTCCTTTAAAGGTGTCATGGAACGATTTTCCTACTTCTTCCTCCTTAGACTCAAATGCGAGTTGTGAAATCACGTGCTCGTGACATTTCTTCAGCACCGCTGCGATGACTCCTAGCTTCCACCGTGCTTTTTATGCACACCATAGATCTTGTCATCCCCCAGTGACAATACGTTCCGTCAGGGCACTCATTGGCTACGAACGCGAATCCAAATATTCGTCGACGGATTGATTGTTGACGAGCGCATACGTCCGAGCGACGCAGTTCTCGTGTCCAATGCGTGAGCTGGGCTCTGCTGACGTCAGTTTGGCGCCGGTGACGCGCTTTTGGAACCGCGGATGTATCATAGTGAAAAGGCGGAGAGCTTTCGAAGGCAAGAACGTACAAAATAAACCGCTATATTTTCAAATGTTCGTACCGAAAAGCTGACTTTTGACTTTCTAGCCTCTTTCTTTTGGCCAACTAAACGGTATGCGATTAGTAAAGTCCCAATTTAAAATCATTCATCCCAACCTCAAATTCGTTTCATGGCCCCTTTAACAGAACAACAAAAGGCACAGATACAAGAACTGCTCTTGGACTTTCGGCAGTGCATTGCTATTACACCAGAAGAGCTAGGGTGCACACAACTTGTGCGCCACGCCATTAATACTGGCGATCACGCTCCAGTACATCACAATCCAAGACGTGTTTCGATGAGAGAACGGGAGGCGATAAACCACCAGGTAGACGACATGCACATTATAACTAGCTCCAACAGTCCTTGGTCGTCACCAGTTGTCCTGGTTAGGAAAAAAGACGGCTCTACAAGATTCTGCGTGGACTACCGGAAACTTAACAGCATAACAAAACCAGACGTGCATCCTTTGCCACGACTTGACGATGCCCTCGATCGCCTTCGTGGTGCCAGCTACTTTACTACTCTGGATCTCATGTCCGGATATTGTAAAGTGGAGCTGGAGCCGAAAGATTTCGAAAAAACTGCCTTTGTGACTCCTGACGGATTGTTCCAGTTTAACCGTCTTCCATTTGGACTTTGCAATGTACCTGCGACCTTCCAACTCCTCATGGATAGGGTGCTTGGACGGCTGAAGTGGACGATGGCATTAGTTTATCTTGATGATGTCATTGTATACGCTGACACCTTTGAAGAACACCAGCACCCTCTGCGCCTAGTGCTGAATGCCCTCACCAATGCGCATCTCCGTCTGAAACCATCGACATGCTTCTTCGGATGCGACACAATCATTTACATAGGGCATGTTGTCAACAAAGAGGGTATTCGCCCGGATCCAACCAAGCTGGCAGCGCTAGCCAATATTCCTGAGCCCACTACCGCAAAGCAGTTGAAAAGCTTTTTAGGCATTGCGTCCTGTTCTCGTCGATTTGTAAGAAACTTCTCTCTCAGAGCTGCTCCACTGAGTGAGCTTCTTAAAAAAGACACCAAGTGGCGGTGGTGCGCAAAAGAACAAGCTTATTTTGCTGATATCAAAAGAGCACTTCTTGAACCACCAAACCTGGCTAATTTTTCAGAGGAAGCACCGACGTTCATTCACACTGATGCCAGTGGCGAAGGGCTTGGCGCTGTTCTCCAGAGGGACAGTGCAGGAGTAGGACATCACGTCATATACGCAAGCCCTAAACTCAGCGAACCAGAAAGTCGATGTTATTCTTCAGAACTCGAGTGCCTCGCTGTTGTTTGGGCAGTGGAAAAGTTCCGTCCATACATCTACGGAAAGCATTTTACAGTCGTGACAGATAACTCTGCTCTCCGTTGGCTTCAGTCAAAAAACGATCTAACTCCGAAATTGACTCGGTGGGCAATGAAACTGCAAGAGTTGGACTCCTCGATCGTTCATAGAAGTGGGAAACAGCACCAAGACGCCGACTTCCTCTCACGGCACCACATCGAAGACGCCAGAGTTGCTCCTGTACTCGCACTCTTAGATTTGCAGTCGGCACAAGCAGAGGAATTTGACACATTCAACATAATCCAGTTGCTTTCTAACAAAGTGAACGGGAGACCGCGACTTTCAGAACGTCGATTACGGCGTTTGCGAGCGTACTACCAGCTTCGGGATGGTCTGCTGTGTCATCGAGCACATCCCTCAGGAGTGTGGCTCCCCGTAGTTCCCCCCAAAATGCGTCGGAACATTCTTGAGATGTGCCATGATGCTCCAACTGCGGGTCATCTCGGACAACACCGGACGCTCGACAAGGTCGCCAAGAGATTTTGGTGGCCGCACCTCTGGACGGATGTCCGACAGTGCGTCGCGTCTTGGGCAACATGCCAACTGCGGAAAACCCCACCGCACCCGGCGAAGACCGAGCTACAGCAAATTACACCTCCAGGCAGCCCGTTTGAGTTAGTTGTAATTGATCACCTGGGGCCGTTTCCAAAATCTGATGATGGAAACAAGTACGTCATTGTCACAACGGACTACCTGACAAAGTGGATCGAAGTGGAGGCGGTCCCCGATACTTCAGCTTTGCATCTCGTCGCCTTCGGCAACAAACACCTTGTATTGAGGCATGGTACACCCCGCCGGATAATGTCTGACAGGGGAACGCCATTTATGTCCCGTGCTTTCGGTTGTGCTTTGCGAGATTACGTACTTGAACATGCGGCCGCTTCACCTATACCATCCTCAAACGAATGGCCTAGTAGAGCGTACCAAACGTACCAACCAGAGCATTGGAGATATATTATCTCCGTTCGTCAATAAATCTCGCAAGAACTGGGACACGTTCATTGGTAGAGCGGCGTTCGCTTTGAACACTTCACAACCGGAAGTGACCGCCAAATCTCCATTTGAGCTTGTTTACGGAAGACTCCCGACGCTTCTGTAGGAATCATCGATGGGCGCTGCATGTACCCGTCGGGCGCGAGAGTATGAAGAGAACTTCGTTGAACCACTAAGTGAAGCCAGAAAACTGGCTCGGCTGGCAATTCTAAATCAGCAATCAAAGTTGGCCGAACGTCACAACAGGGACACCTCATTGCCGTCAGTTTCACCAGGTGATGTGGTGCTTCTTCGAAGGCACCTAAGACGTCCACAGCACTCGGAAAAGCAACCAGGTACTGCGGACCTTTCAAGATCAGCAGGCAACCTGGACCCGTAACGTACCGTCTCGAAAACCTTGACACCATGCCTCAGCGTGGGCGACGCCGCACTTTAACAGCCCATTCAAGCCATCTGAAACTTTGTCACACGTGACTACCTTAGCATTGTCCGGGACGGACTTCCAAACAGGGAGAAGCGAGTGTAACGGACAAGGAAAAGAAAGAAAAGGAAGGGAAGAAGAAGAGGTCGGGTGGAGAACGGGGAACTGAATTCTGGGTTGCCCGTTTAGCCCATGAGCTGAGACTCCCGCAACAATATATATATATATATATATATATATATATATATATATATAAACTAAAAGGTGTGCATGGCATTTGATCAATGCTGCTCAAACTGAACACGAGCCAGTGAAGCGTGTGCATGCACAGCAAGACAAAGTGTACTAGGCTCTTTCCCCAACTCTAAAATGCCTTGAACACAAGTGCTCAAGGCGTCGCGCGGAGTAAGATGGCCCTTGACGCTATCG